TGATAAGACTATGATTTAGAATTTTATAAATTTATTAAATGAGATTATATAACATTAAAATTAGATATAACTCTAAGAAAAAAGCGGAGAAAGCGAAAAGAAATAAAGTAGGTAAAAATGCGAATTCAGAGAATTTAATCAGAAAAGTAGGAAAGTAAAGGGATAAGCTTAAAAATTATTATAATAATACATGTGTGATAGCATTTTGTATGAGAGAGTGAATGAGTATTCATGTAAACCAAGTCCCCTTCTTGACTGTATATGCTGAAGTGTAATAAATTCTATTCTATTCTATTCTATTATTAATTTAATTGGTCAATATCTAGTAATCATTACTCACTTTTATAATTTTCACCTTATTTCAAAATGTACAATCGAGCCCCTATAGTTTGATTTGATTAAAGTTGTAGCGACAATAGGCGATAATCGCTATAATTTGAATTTATTTTATCAAAATGAATTTATTTTATCAAACCATGCAATTCTCGTTTTGCACAGTGATCCTCCAAAATCTTCTTTTTTTGTATGTTTTTCTATCTGCAGACATAATTGCAACAAATGTTGCACTAAACAGTTGTTTCTTTCTAACCTCTTCTTGCTTTTTTATAATTTCTAAACATTTCTTTTGCCATTCATGGTATTCCCGTATATATTTAACAGTGCGACTATATTATTCACTATACTTGGCAGAGTAAAGAACATTACGATTTGGAGCAAAAAGTATTGTAACGAAAGTCAATCGTAATGTTTGTAATCGCTATTTTTCATCGCGCATCTTTAAGATGCCTTTTTATGCTGATGCTCGAAACTCATTTTCGGCGTAAAAATACGTCACCATTCTTGGTTGACGCTAGCGTTAAAGAAGTAAGTTGAATTTGTCAATAGCGTTTTCCACTGGGAAGACTGGTGCAGCACTAGTGCCGTGCTAGGTTAAATTAAAACTGCATTAGGGTAGTAATAGTATAGGTTTAGTGCGATTCAATGGAACATATCATAAGATATCCATTTTTATTAACATCCATTTTACTCATAAGGCTGCTTTTTCATGTTGATGCTCGATGCTCATTTTTAGCGTCAAAACAGATCACATGATCAAAATTAATGCTTAATATTCGTCAATTTTGATCACGTGATCTGTTTTAATGCTCAAATCGGGTGTCGAGCGTCAGCATAAATATGTAGCATAATACTCCCAAAAATATATATAATTATTGTGGTGGCACCCGCTTGTCCAAACGCAAGTTGCGCCACTCATGCGTCCAGTCAACTCAGCCAATCGTAACATTGATTCCACCAGACAAGCGATGCGTAGGCACAACCGGCAGTCGCAAACTTGCCAACAATAGAGAAGTAAGAAGGAAGAAGCTGTCATTAGTAACATACTTACCTTCTTTCTTTGTGTACGTGTCGCGGCTCGATCCACGCATAAGAATATCTGAAAGAAAGTGATATTAGCTTGTATCGTATTAATATATACTTACCTTAGAGACCATTGTACGTTGAATTAAAATAAATCTGTTGTGTTAGTTATATGATAAGCGATAGATAGTTTATATGATAAGCGCTGTGATTCGTCATTCATCTCTTTTCCGCTATACTATGTTTAAATTCAAATTATTTATTTTACAATATTCGGATTTATTTATTTATTTGAAACATTTTTTAAAATTAAATTTTTATATTCCATGAGTTTTAAACGTCAAAATGTCATTGCGTAGCTATTAATAGAAACATTGAAACTAACAATGTCATTGTTATACCATTAATTACAATAATGTAATATCATATTATAACACAATATCATGTAAGATTTCAGTTCGTAATGTCCGTTCTTCCATGCCCGGCACAGGGACGTCGCCAATGAAGTACGTTGGCAAGCATGGCCGACCAAGCGCGACGGATTCATATCAGGAATGGACGAGGACCTCAATTCAGAGAAACTGTAATCCTTTGTCCACGAATATGTTTATTCTGTTCTTGTTATAACCTTAAGTTAACGAAACGCAAAAATGGAGCAGACTGCTCCTCATAAACGACTTAACTCGTCTCTTGTTATTTTTGAACTCTCTTCGGCTCGTTCCGCTCGCATGCTCCGAAGTATCCATGCATACGCAGATCGCTCATAAACCTGCCTGTCAAACGCTAATTGGCTCCGTATGGGCCTTTGCGACAGTAAAGTTCTCCACCTATGCAGTGGTCACAGGAATTTTCTTATAATCATGCCCTTAGTACAAATACAACCTCAATTTCAACTTACACTGGGTATTAATCATGAAACTTTATCCCTAGGATGGAAAGTAAAAAGAAAAAATTTTTAATGACCAAAGAGAAACTTGAGAGAGAACATGACGGGCTAATATCTGTAATCGCAAAATGCTTCCGCGCACTACTGCCTTCTGACAAAGTGGATGTAAACTACGTAGCAAAGTCCACTTTTCTTAGGATACATTGTCCACTTTTCAAGGTTGGAGATGATAAATCGATATTTGATTTATATAATCGCGTTACATGTAGCAAATGATATGAATCAAATATCGATTTATCATTCAGCTTTGAAAAATGGACGACGTACCCTAAGAAAAGTGGACGTTGCTATGTAGTTCACATCTACTTTGTCAGAGGGCAGTAGTGCGCGGCAGCATTTTGCGGTTACAGATTTCGTGTCCTCTCTCAGGTTTCTCTCTGATTAAACACTGAACTGGTTTTCACAGTGGAACCACATAATTGCATTTAGTGCGCACCAATGTTGCATCAGTTTTCCTAGAGGAAAATGCTGTTAGGCCGGTGTTATGTCCGGGTGAGGACGTGAGGTAGCACGGACAAGCGATATGTCCCGGCAAATTCGAATTAGGATTACAATTGTTATTTTTTAGTTAGAGATGACGAAAATGAGTCCGTAGGCCGAGCAGAAACTTACGGAGCCTCTTCTCGATAATAATTAAAGCTTAGATAATTTAGTTAATGTTGACTTGATGTTAATGTAATAGTCATAAAACATGAAAGGTAAAATAACGTTAGGTTGGTTGACAAACTAGCAACATACTTTTAATTTGTCGAAATGATAGATGACACTGATCAAGAATGATTAAGGGGAAAGGGGATATCGCTTTCGATACAACTTATTAAAGTAAATTAAAATAGCTGTAAGGTAAAATAATTATTATATTAAATAAGTCTAATAATAATGGCGGAACATGAAATGACAGTATGTGTGAAAATATGTATAAATTGCATATCTTTATTTAATAATGGATAGTTAACATGGGCTATGATAATTGAGCATTAGAAAGATTTAGCTGATACATTAAATGAATATAATGAAATAATTCATCTCCATCTACAATCTGATATAATTGGAATAGTAAATATAACGCAGTAATGTAGACGTAGTAATATAATTCAAGCAAATTCTAAAATATCTGAATGTTTTAATATCAAGATCTATTAATATTATTATTTAATATTCAGTACTAAATAAAAGAATGGATAGTAGGTTATCAAGAATAATAAAGTATATGTATATAATGTATATAATATGTGTATATTTGTATTGGGAGTATAAATAAGTTTCCGCCGTTTGACAAACAATGGCGCTACCAGTATGTTATAGTTAAAATTGTCAGCTGTAAAACGTCATATCGTAAAGTTGGACATCTGAAGAACATAACCTTGAAATATTAGCGATTTTGCATCAGCATCTTACATCTTTTTTCGTGCGAAAATGTCGAGTTTTGAGCCGAATAAGCATCATTTGCGGGAGCTTTTGATTTACTTTTTAAATTTGAAGAAATCTGCAGCTGAGGCGCATCGATTGCTTGTAGCATATGGTGAGGCTGCCTTAAGAGAGAAGTTGCCGTGAGTGGTTTCAAAAGTTTAAGAACGGTGAATTTGACGTTGAAGACAAAGAACGTAGCGGAAGGCCGAAAGTGTACGAAGACGCGGAATTGGAAGCATTAGTGGATGAAGATTCGTGCCAAACGCAAGAAGCACTTGCACTTACATTAGGAGTGACTCAACCAGCAATTTCACATCGCTTAAAATCGTTGGGAATGATTCAAAAGCAAGGAAATTGGGTTCCATATGAACTGAAGCCGAGAAACGTTGAACGCCGATTTTTCACATGTGAAATGCTGCTTGCCAGGCATAAACGAAAGGGTTTTTTGCACCGTGTAGTCACTGGTGATGAAAAATGGATTTACTACGATAACCCAAAGAAGAAGAAATCATGGGGACCACCTGGCCATGCTTCAACATCGACAGCCAAGCCGAACATTCATGGGAAAAAGCTCATGTTGTGTATTTGGTGGGATCAGCTAGGTGTCGTTTATTATGAGTTGCTCAAACCGAACGAAACCATTACTGGGGCTCTCTACCGAACACAATTGATGAGATTGAGCCGAGCACTCAAGAAAAAACGCACTCACTACTACTCCAGACACAACAAAATTATTCTTCTGCATGATAATGCTCGTCCACATGTTGCGGCGCCGGTCAAAACCTACTTGGAAACATTCAATTGGGAAGTTTTACCCCACCCGTCGTACGAGTATTCACAGACATTGCTCCTTCTGATTACTACCTGTTTCCATCGATGGCGCATGGCCTGTCTGAGCAACACTTCATATGAAGATACCAAAAATTAGGTCGATTCGTGGATAGCTTCAAAAGATGAAGCGTTTTTCCGACGCGGTATCCGTATGCTGCCAGAAAGATGGGAAAAAGTAGTGGCTAGCGATGGACAATACTTCGAATAAAACATTAGGTACCGTTCTTTCACAATAAATGCCCAATTTTTGATAAAAAAAACCGGCGGAAACTTATTTATACTCCTAATAACAAAACTGAATAAATATAAAAAAAAAATGTATTAATATTGTAAGAGAGACGTAAATTTTTATCATAATAGGATCTAGTATAATCCGAGATAATAAGCGCAGAAATATAATAATAATAGAGTATTATATATAATATTACGATATAATAAAATATTTTACTACATAATGTTTACGCTGGCGGATAAGGGCAACGTCACTGTGGCCATGGATAGGGACGTTTACAGAGACAGGATGACCGAGTTATTGGGGGACTCAGACACGTATGTCCCGATCAAAAGAGATCCGACCAAAAAGCTTACATCAGCCTTGAGGTCTATGCTCACTGGGTGGAGGACCAGAGGTCACATCAAGGATTCTGAGTACAAAGCTTTGTATTGCAGTGACGGTTCTCTCCCGAGGGCTTATGGGCTGCCAAAGATTCACAAGCCTGATTGTCCTCTTAGAATTATAGTGTCATCGGTGGTCAGTCCGCTACATGCTTTGGCTACGTTTTTACACAAGAAATTATTTAAAACCATTCCGAGAGCTGTCAGTTTTATGAGAAACAGTTTTGAACTGGTTGAGAGGCTGAGGGATGTGCACTTTACGGGGACACATGAGTTGACGTCTTTGGACGTTACCTCTCTGTTGACGAACGTGCCAACGGATGTAGCGATCGACTGCGTTAACGAACATTGGCCGGCGGTTTCTGGGGATTGCTCTCTACCCAAGAAAGAATTTTTGGGAGCGATACGGGTTGTCCTGGACTCTTCGTTTTTTGTCTTTGACAATGTTTTCTACAGGCAGAGCTTTGACACTCCCATGGGCTCTCCAATATCACCGGTGATAGCGGACTTAGTGTTGAGGAGATTGGAGACGGTGTCCTTGATGTCTGTGAATTTGGACATTCTATTCTATTATAGATACGTTGACGACATATGCACTGCGTTGCCCCCCTCTCAGATCGACGCGTTATTAGAAAGATTTAATGCATTCCATCCGCGCCTACAGTTTACCGTAGAGAGAGGCGGAAAAACGATCAATTTCTTGGACGTCACTGTGTCTGTCAACAATAATCGCTTTAATTTCGATTGGTACCGTAAGCCAACGTTTTCAGGTAGATTTTTAAACTTTCACTCTAATCATCCATTGACGCAGAAAAAAGGCACCATCTTTTCATTAGTCGACAGAGCCTTTTTATTATCTGATGTTAGGTTTCACACAAAAAATTTAACCTCCATCATTGACATTTTACTTCTGAATGACTACCCACTAGACTTTATTTTTGACTCCATCAATCATAGGATCAAAAATTTGATTAGAAATAGACATAGATTACACGATACCGCGACTGACATTGACTTAACTAATAAGTCTACCTCTTGGCTTACGGTGCCTTTCATTCCGCTTCATACGGAGAAACTTAGATCTTTGAATAAAAGCAAAAGTAATATCAGGGTGGCCTTCCGCAGTCCTAACAAAATGGGCAAATACATAAGAGTCCAGAAGGATCCGTGTCCCAGTACATCGAAAAGCAACGTTGTTTATAAAATTTTATGTAATGATTGTGACGCTTCTTACGAGGGTCGTTCGAAAAGTCCGTGCAAAGTCACTGCTGATGGCACTACTGGCGCGTATCAAGGTTAGATTTAGTTAGTAGCATCTCTTGGAGGAACACACACCAAGTTACAGCCAGATCGGTCTATTTGTTTGTGTTTGGCATTCATTTGAATCGAGGAAGTCGAGGGGGGTTTGTTTCTGCAATCACGTCCTCGTTTCCATAAAATCTTTTTCCCGCCAGCCATTTCTTCATATTGGGGAACAAATAGTAGTCCGAGGGAGCCAAGTCTGGAGAATAGGGGGGATGTGAGACGAGTTGGAACCCTAATTCCATTAATTTTGCGACCACAACTGCTGAGGTGTGAGCTGGTGCGTTATTGAAAATCACTCGACTTCCTCGATTCAAATGAATGCCAAACACAAACAAATAGACCGATCTGGCTGTAACTTGGTGTGTGTTCCTCCAAGAGATGCTACTAACTAAATCTAACCTTGATACGCCGTAGTGCCATCAGCAGTGACTTTGCACGGACTTTTCGAACGACCCTCGTACATTGAACAGACGGGCAGGCAATTAAAAACCAGGATTGCCGAACATCGTAATCATATTAGACATAAAGCTTCTGCCCGCTCTGTCATCACCGATCATAGGTTGAGTCACAATCACGATTTTCAATGGAACAATGTTCTGATATTAGACGAGGAGCCTTCGTATAGAAAACGTTTGATTTCGGAGATGCTACATATTAAAAAACAGAAGAACAGTCTTAATTTGCAGACTGACACCGAGGGTCTTAATAAGGCATATCTGCCGATTATAAACAAAGTCTGACTTTCGATCCTGTCGACCCGTCTCCTCTCTCAGTGCGTCGCGTGCCGTTTTAGCGAGCGATCGGTGTCACGTGCGATGTTGACATGTCTGACTTGGACGATTACATCCCTATCATTGTCATGGGTTTTCACACCTGTCATGCATTGCGGCGATTCTCATTTCCTGTTCGGATGCGTTAGTGAGTGAGCACTTGGCTTTTTATCTGCGACGTGTTTAGTTTTTAAGTTTTTAAGTTTCTTAGTTTACTTGTTTCTTATGAGTTCCCTTCCTTTTCCGTTTTTCAGTTAGCACTTGACTATGTTTCTTAACATCGGTTTTGATTGCCCCATCGCATATAAAGGGTGTCCCAAAATTAACGCAAGATTTGAATTTGCCGCCATTTGTGCAATAAAGTGTTGGCAACCCAAAAAAAAAAACAATTTAACAGCTGACAGTTTAGGGTTAGTGAGAATGGAGCGTTACACAATAGAACAACGTGTGTTCATTATTGAACAATATTTCAAAAATTTCGAGCAAAATCATCCTAAGCGATGAAGCACATTTTTACTTTGATGGCTTTGTTAATCGCCAAAATTGCCGCTTTTGGGGTACGGAGAACCCACATGTGATTGTCGAAAAACAAATGCACAACGTGTCACTGTTTGGTGTGGATTTTGGGCTGGAGGCATCATTGGACCATACTTTTTTGAAAATGAGGCTGGTCAAGCAGTGACTGTTACTGGTGCTCGATATCGCTACATGATAACACAGTTCTTTCTGCCGAAATTGGATGATATTGATGTGGCCAATATGTGGTTTCAACAAGACGAGCTGTATGCCACATGCCATACAGCTCGTGAAACAATTCAGTTACTGCATGAGACGTTTCCAGGTCGTGTACTCTCTCGTTTAGGTGATCAGAATTGGCCCCCTAGATCGTGTGATTTAACACCATTAGATTTCTTTTTATGGGGTTATTTGAAATCACAGGTCTATGTCAACAAGCCCACAACCACCCGTGCATTAAAGGAGGAGATTCAACGCTGCATCAACGAAATTCAGCCACATTTATGCAAAATGGTCATGGAAAATTTCGACAAACGAGTGCGTATGTGCATGCAAAGCCGTGGAGGCCATTTGCCCGATGTGTTATTCCACAAATAACCCTATCCTATGTACTTTATGATTCAATAAAAAAATAACAATCAAAAGACTAAAAACTGTGTTTTCTATTTAATTCAAATCTTGCGTTAATTTTGGGACACCCTTTACAACATTAAGCTACGTCGAGATCCATCACATTTGCTGATTTCCGCTGCCGATTTATTATTATTTTTTTTGTTTTATTCTTGTATGTCTTTTATATTATATTCTTTTTACATCTGAGGAGGGTTCAATCCAGCAGCCAAAACTTGTTTTGTTTTATATTTTAATATACGCCGTTGTACTTTTTATTTTATTTCATGTATCTATGACTATTATCTTTAATTATATATATTATGCGACGACTCTTTTTCGCCATTTATTTTGTTTATTTTGTTTATACATAAAGAGTCTTTACACCGCTGTTATTTTATATATATATATATATTTAAATAGTTTAGATATACTAAAGTGACTTAAAAAAAACGCTATTTCGTTAGATTGAATAATGAAAGGAAACTTTCACTAAGAGATGACAAATGTGATTTAGATATACTTAATAGTAAAGATATAATGATTATTGTCTTATAATATACTTAAAATATATTATTATATATTATTTGTTAACATTTCTTATACGCTCTTCAACATTCCGCAAAGAATGCATGGAGCGTACTGATACACTTCCTAAACATTTTATTCATTAGTACTTCATCTATGCTTCCTAAACGTTCGGCAAAAAGTACACGGAGCATTCAAATACGCTTTGTGTACGCTTCCAGGATATAGAGATAAAAAAATTTATTTTAAAACGGAGTCATTGAGCTGTGAATGTAAACGAAGCGCCGATGAGTAGTATGCAGCACCGCCACCAGAGGGATTTAAATAGAACTAACTTCTCAAATTTAAAAAACCGCACAGACTAGGATAAAAGACGTAGCATTGAAAGATTTTTCAGTTGTGTTCTAACAAAATAATTTTTTGAAGTGAGCCCCTAGGGCTCCAAGAAGAAAGCATAGCACTTTTTTTTTTATATTTTTATCGAATTAATGAAATATATTTTCAAATATCATTTGCTTACCAAGCACCTCGATTACATTTCATTCATGTTCGTCTAAGAACTCGACGATGCTCCGTTTACGTTCTCTAAACTGCCTAATCATGCTCCGTTTTACATTCAACGAACATTCTGCCCGTGCTTGCCGAAGAACTTATCTATACTTTTATATATGTTCTTTACCGTTTAGTTGACGCTTTCTGTAAGTTCCATGTTCCAATTTTCGCTTCTTACGGGTTTCATCTACGTTTCTTTTACTCCCTTCCTACACTTTCTTTATTCTAATTGACACTCGTTTTACGTTTTATTTTCATGAAATTATCGCAAATAATAATATATAATAATTTAATAATGTATTGAGCGATCATAAAGAAAAGTCTGTATAAATAAAATAGGAAATAAAAATAAAAATAATTAGAGTTAAATATGGTAAAATAACACAAAATAAATTTTTTATTGATAAGAAATTTGTATTTATTTATTTATTGATAATTATTTAGAATACGAGCATCACTACGAAATGTGATAAAAATATACTCATTCGATATGTTTTCACTCAAAATGAAAGAATCTGGTAGAAAAACATGGTGATGTGCTTCATGAAGCAAATTATTAAATGTAGAGATGGGCTACATTCAAAAACATTACCTGAGTATCATTCTATTTTTGTGTTTAACATTGAATAATAATAAGATAATACACGGGGACTCGAATGACATTTACATTATACGCAGCTCTAATAAATATTTAGACAAAGAAAATTCGTTTTCCCCTAACCTGAATAGACGCTTAAGGAGGTATTCTACTTTGTTGAGTAAAAAAAAATCGATTTTTTTTTTTTTACATTTCTTCAATCCTTGTAGTAGAATCCTTCTGTAGAATATCTATGTAAAGTTTTATATAAAAATTTGAAATATTAACGAAATTATAACAATTATTCTGCGCAGCTGTCAGCGCGCAAAATAAGGCCCTGCGTACAATAGAAGAAATAAGGCCCTGTGCACAATAGAAGGAATAAGGAATTAGAAATAAAGAATAAATGATTTCAATTTATCAGAAACCGTGTATTTCGATGTATCCGATTTCTGATAGATTAAAATTATTTAATCTTTATTCTTAATTTCTTCTATTGTGCGCAGGGCCTAAAGCTCATGGCACATACAAAAACGTAAGGTCATAACACGTAAACAGTAAGGAAATCGTAAGATTGGATTCGCTACTGGTCTTATGGTCTCCATCGTGATTGGGCAATTTGCTTATTGATTACGTCTTACAATCTTACGTTTTTGCATGTGTCATTAGTTGTAGTTTTCTGAACACGGTCATCGGTAGGAAAGGACTTCTTTACTGTTGGTAGTGTTCTTTTTTCCCACACTAGTCGCTATATTCTTTTGTTATAGCAGGCAATTTCTAAGGCCGGAATCAGACTATGCATTGAAGATTAAGATTAAAGATTAAAGATTAAAATTTCACTAATGAGGACAAAGAAGTTTTGGCTCCTTTTGTTCAGGGGAATTCACTAGAATTTTTATAATTTAATTGATCAATACCTAATAATCTTTGCTCACTTTTATAATTTTCACCTCATTCAAGATACACAATCGACCCCTTTTGGTCAAACTTTAGTCTTTCAATCTTCAAGGCATAGTCTGATTCCGGTCTAAGGTGCTCCGCACAATAAAAGGAACAGAGTATAAAAATTTCAACCTATCAGAAACTGTGTATTCCAATACACAATACATAATTTTTGATAGGTTAAAATTTTTGTTCTCTGTACTCTATTCCTTTTATTGTGCGGAATTTCTTAAGGCTTAAACACAATAGGCACAGGCAACAGAGAATAACGAGTTGTCCAATCAGAGCTTTGGGATATAATATCGGACTTACACACCAGAGCTCTGATTGGACGGCTCACTATTCCCTATTGCTTGTGTCTATTGTGTTTAAGCCTTTACATCATGGTTAATATGACACAAATAGCATTGATGGCGCGCTCCCCGAACGCAGCCTCAGTTTCAACTATTCACAGCTGTTGGTTTCTGTTGTGTACTCTGGTATATTCTACAAAAGAGTAGTTGAGTGTGGAATAAAAATTGGCCATATCGCTGAGGAGGATTGGGTGTTCCGTACACGAGGCTGCAGAAGTTAATTCGATCAAACACTCGATAAATTGTAAAGTAAGTTGAGTTTGTATTAAGTTAAACATTTATCTTAATATATATATTATAAGAACCAAGTGTTAAATGAAAAATAAAGTAGATATTTTTCAAGTTTTTAGGTTTTAGATTTTTATTATTCCTTTCTATTTTGCACAGCTGATTATTGTGCTTATGTTTGATTTCGAGGTTATACTTGTTGACGTTACTTTTTTTTTTACAAGAATGGACATTTTATCTTTAAATAATTACTCTTTTAGTTTGCATTAAATTACGTAAAACGCAATTTATTTTAATATTATGATTGGCAAGCGACAAATGAGTAATAAAAAATAATTTTCACGTTTTATGGTTTGTCGTTCCTTTTCATTTTGTATAGTTAATTATTATACGCTAAGTTTGACTTTACATCAAGATTACGTATATTTGATGGATAACGCGACATTATTTTGAGATTTTTTACAAGACTGAACATTTTATTGTCTTGCAATATAATATAACATCCGAAATGAATTATATTATATTATATTTCAGGGGAATCATACAAGTATAATGTATAAAATAACAGATAGTTCTTCGGATGAAGATGATCCATATACAAATTCTGTTGCTCGATTAAGAGGTAACACTTTCTCTTTTTATGACAGTTATGTTAATTTATAATT